ACCGTCACAAATTGTGCCCCAACCTCATGGAATGACCTTGCATTATGATGGAAACCTTGCATGCTTGAGCATCTTAGGAGGAATGGCTGCATCCAGAAATCACTTTTCACTTGTTGATGTTAATCGCTGTCTCCTTGAGCTAGTCTAAACCGGGACTTTGTTTTCTTCAAGGTCTTCCCAGAACGACTTCTATGCCATCGCTTCCCAGACCAAGCTCCTTATGGACATGCCAGAAAAGGTGAGCACCACTTCAGAAGTAGCTGAGGGTGTATCTGAATCTTTTGTCCAGAGCTAGAGCTGGGTCTCAGTCTGTGCCCGTCAGAAATAACGCAGGGTCGCACCGACAGTGGGCATAGCCGTATCTCTGGAAGTTCTTTCTGGACAAGGCCTGAGAATCTCATGAGGCATGATGTTCTTGATTTATTCACTTTGCTCTGGTAGGGAATGCAGTGCATTTCTGATGAAGAATGGCATTCTCTTACGTGAACTCGCATATTACAAGCTTTTCCCAAATCAGCACACTTAGAGTATGCAGCTAAGTGGACGCAGTAGGGAAATTGTAAGGATGGGATCCTGGGAAAATGTTTCCCATATTGTTTCCAATTTTTGGACCTCTGTCTTCGTCTTGAAGATCTGGAGTGCCATTGAGAGCAGTGAGCACCTGATAGCCACGGAGCTCTACCTGCTGGCTTGTCACATCGTGAGCAGCCTGCAGCTGGACAGCAACACCCAGCAGTCCGCTCAGCTCCTGGCGTGGTTCCCCGTGCTGTCCAGGCAGTGGGCCGCCATCAGCCACTTCAAGGCCGGTATACTGCAGGTGGGTGAATGGAAGATTTTCTGTACGTGCCGAACCCAGCACCAGATATCATGGAACAGTGCAACTTGAAGCGTTGGCAGTTGTTTAACAGATGGTAGCATTTAGGCTGTGACCCCAGTAAGAGCACAAATTCTTTTGCTAGGAAAGTTGAAGCTGAGTTGTGGGGACGGATTTTCCCCCCCAAACGTTTTTGGTCCCCACAATATTAACGTTTCAACACATGTAAATCCCCACAGCTAGAAGAACCAGTGCATGTGCATTGTTCATAGTAGACACTATCAAGGCTAACGCATTGTGCTTTTGACATGTTTTGGAACCAGACCAAACTGGTATGGACACTTAAAAGTCTACACAGTCATGTTTCAGGAGACCACAGCGTTTGGACTTGTTCCTACAATAAAGCACTCCTGCAGACTAAGCATAGGCTCAATACCGCTTTCCTACCCTCTCTCAACTTCCACATTCACTTGGGTTTATTTACTGTGATTGATGATTAGGCATTATTTGTCTTTGAGGTCGGGAACATGGTTTAAGTGCAGATTTCACAGCAACTGTCCTCTTGCTTTCCCCACCAAAAGATGATAGCCTTTATTTATATATAACAGGTTTTACCCTTACCCAACATATATTATA